CCTAGTCTTATTTCTCTTTATTTCCTTTCTTCTTCCTCCTCTGCTCCTGGTGAAATGAAGCACAGTAGATTTACACATGCCCTGAGTCTGTACTGTATTTATGGTCCACACAGGAGGGCCTCATCTCTCAAAAGCACCAGCGCTCCCTGGGACAGAAGGCTTATCTACGCAGCAGGCGCTCCGCTGGGGACGCTCCTGTGAGAGACAAGCGCCACCTAGTGCACCGCGGCCGTACTACAGGGACTGCGCCGTGGAAGACTGTAATAGACTTAGACTTTATTGATCCGCAAGGGAAATTATTTGGACTCGGCAGCTCAAACATCGCAGTGCATTAGAATAACAGAGCAAATATATGAAATGGTAATAATAATTTCAAAATAAACTGAATAATAGAGTTTTAATTAGCTAAAAAGATGCATTATGTCCAAGTTACAGGTCAGATCTCTGGGGAGGTGCGCGGCAGAAAGAAAGCATATTTTCAAGGTATTCTTTTAGCAGTAGCTGTAACTGGATAAATGTATGATAGATGAGTTTAAAGGCATACTGTGGAACATTCCAGGCAACGCAATAACATCTCCATGGAAACAAGTGTCAGCAAGTGTCGGTCTCTCCAATAGAAAAGATGCACAGTGCACCTTTAATTCAATCTATTTATTTATTTATTGCACTGTGTAACTTTTCTTGGTGGGGGCTCTACTATCTTCTTGTCGTCATGGTGATTGCCTGGAATGCTCCACAGTACAGCATTAAACTTATTAAACTCTTAAGCATGTATGTAATTAAGGGTGCTTTTATTGCTTGCAAAATTAACTAACTGAAAAATTCATTTGTCCATAGATCTGACCTGTCTGACCTTGCCAGTGATAAATTACACACAAATTAAAAGCATTCTAACTGAACTGAACACTTTATTTTTTTTCGATGCGCCTCTCAACAAACAACTAGATGAGAACTGGATAGGCGGTTTGAATAAGCAGTAGTAGGTAGCCGCCAAGCCTTAAACTAGTAATACACAATACTCTCAATGTTCAGATTTCTTTTCTTTCAACTTTTCGAAGTAGCCTAATCACTGGTAGGCACCTGACCCGCCCATGCGCAATCACTACCCACCCGCACAGGCACCCGTAAAGTTCCAGAATGTTAAAATACATCTGTTTCAGCACCTATTTGTGGGTACCCAGGACTCTGCTATAAAGAAAGATAAGTTCAATCCTATACTGTCAAACACTCCAAGCCAAACAACGCAATAACCAGCAGAAAAGTTACACAGTGCACCTTTAATTAGGGCTGCACAATACTGGGAAATTATTGCAATATTTTTATATACTTTTGAACTCAATAAATTCAGTTATAATAAAACAAAAAGTGTATATGGTTTAATTTACTAGTGAATATAAAAACTTAATAAAGACAAAACCAGGACTGAGCATGAATGCAGATTTACACATAAACCTCATTAGGTGGACAGTTGATGTTTACATTTCTAATTTGAGGAAGAAACTGCATTTAATAAGCTGTATAAACATATCTAATGGTCAAATAATTGAATCTAAAATAAATTTAAATAAACATTTAAATGTCAAACACAATAAATTCCGGGCACTCCAAAACAGTAGAAAAAATTAACACATCGCACGAGGAAAAATATAGTTAAAAGGCCTTTATTTGAATGGCCAAAGCCAACATGTTTCGACCTTAACTGGTCTTCATCAGGGCTTAATAGACATTCAATAAACATTGAAATGTGTCTTGTTAAAAGGTGTTAAAGGTTTCTGGTGGAAGGTCTGACAAATGCTTTTTTCCAAGGAGATGTTATTCCTTTGTCTGGAATGTTTCACAGTATGGCATTAAACCTTTCTATCTTCATGGAGATCAAACCAGACCAAGTTACAAGTCAGATCTGTGGAGAGACGGCCCTCGCTCACAATCCATAAAGTTTTTCTAGGTATTTTTGAGCTATAAACCCACCTGTAATTGAATAAATGTAAGGTAGAGCTGTTTAAAGTCATACTGTGGAACATTCTAGACAGCGCTGTAGCCTATCCATAGAAAGCCCCAACCAAAAGTTACACAAATCAGTCATTAGAAATTGTAATCACTGAGTCAACATTGAAACAAGACAGATATTATGAAAGAACTTGCTGAACAAATTGTAACACCTAAAAATTGATATAAATATTCAGAAATTTTAGAGCTGTAAAAACATGTCAAGCCTTCAGTGACAGTGTTTGCTTTGGTAAATTGGAACATTTTGCATCATAAAAAAGGTTTATTTTGCTACTTCCTGGCGTCGGTTGTGTGATATTTGTGAATAACTTGTAAAAATTGTGTATCTTTTTCACAGAGGGAGCAGCCCTATTAGCTCAACCCCTGCCCAGCCTGAGCCCTCCCCTCCCCTCCCCGGCACCTGGCGCTTGCTACAGGTGGTCTTGTAATTACTCCGTGCGGTGGGCTGGTTCAGAGTAGTTTAGTAGAGAAAGGCTGCGCTAATGAGAAGGCTAACTGTGCTGCTTCTCTTGTAGCTCTGAGACCAGACACGAGGCAGGAGGCGGGTGTGTGGCAGTCCATACGGCCGCCACACACAATGAAGACATGTAGAGTGGAGAGTACTGCATTTGAGGTGTGGTTTTCTGAGGGGGTCCATGCAGTTGAGTATAATGTACAGTATTTATCTAGGGCTTTCAAGACACCTAAAGTGCTTTACAATTACATTAAATTATTCATTCACAACTCATGCAGTAGTTATAATTGTAGCCACAGCTGCCCTGAGGTAGTCTGAAGGAAGAGAGACTGTCAATCTGCACTTTCACCCCCCCCAACTACCACCAACACTCATGCATTAAGGGTGTAACTATATCCAAGTCTCAAGATACGCTATTTATTGCGATACTGTGGGAAAGCTCACGATATGGTGGGGAGGCTCATGATTAGGGATATAGTAGCAGTATCCAAATCTCTTTGTACGATATTTTCACAATATACATCTCACGGTACGATATTTACTGCGCTATTTTGTGGAGGCTGCGAACAATCCAAATCCAAATGACTAAGACTTAAAAGTGAACTGTTAGAACTGTTATTTCTTCTTGTAGTCTACACTGAAACGGAGCAAAGGATCATGGTCTATGTAGTTCCCTTGTCTATTGCTGCACCGTAATTCTTAATTTAAGCAAAGAGACTTGTAATTGGAAATATTGTGATGGTCCACGGTATTATTGTGAGAACTCTGACGATACGATATCACGATATTTCGGTTATTGTTACTTTCCTACCATGCACACACTACATTCATACTCTGCAATGTGGGTGAAGTGTCCTGCATAAAGACCATAGACTGTAGAAATGAGTATAGCTAATGTGCTAGCCGCAGTGCTCCAAATACAAATATGCATAGGTGCGAAGCGGTTCCTTTGAGCCCTGGTTCCAATTGACTTATATTGAAAAAACTTCGCCCCTCTCTCTGTATGTGCTGCTGTGAGCCCCGTCATTTTGGTCTTAAAATGTTCATATTAATCCAGTCTACATGATCCTGAGGTTTTCATTTTGCTATTCTGTCTCTAAATCGATGCTTGCTTTCCCTGAGGTCACTCCTGCCTGCCTTAGCAACAGGTTTGATTGACAGCGCCGTTGCTAGAGGTGATAGTGGTTTCACACATGTATATCCAAATGTGGTCCCTGGTTTCAGATTAGTAGTTATAACTGCTAGCCTTTGATGAGCTTCATTTGGTTGCAAACAAACTCTACGGGTGGCATCACACTCCTTTAGTCCACGTCTATTATACAGTCTATGCTCAGGTCACATTAACACACCTCCAGTTTCAATGTGCTTGGCAACAATATTGCACTTTACATACCACGTAAAAGCAGAGTGACTAAATCCTATGTATGGAGTAACAATGTGAAAAGACATCTCCATCTCAAAAAGTCTCCAGAATGGTGTCCACACCATGAAAAAGTAGCTGTGATATAGACCAACACTATGAATATATCTAAATACACTCCTGCTGTCTGCATACACATCTAGCACCTCATCTTCCTCGATACTAAATCATCAATACAGTTCTCTGTTCAGTTCTCTGCATATTCCATCTTAAAGTATTTTGCAAAAGTCCCCAAAATGGCATCGAATGGTGGGTTTCAGATTCACACATCACAGCATTCTATAGAGCAATGTTATTTAATAAAGACGGGGGGGGCACATAAAATGGATATTGTTAAAATGCAGAGTTCTTGTGCCTCGCAATGATAGAAATGTTCAGGTTCAATATTTGTGAATTTACATTTTGGATATTTCATGATAAAGTACAGTGTAATTAATAGTGAAATCTATCTCTTGTCCCTCATTTGAGTCTGACATCATCACATTCTACAATCTGAAAACCACCAATACCATGAAAAAGTAGCTGTGATAAAAGCAAAACTATGAATAGACCTAACCACTCTTCCACTGTTTGCACACACATCTTCCAAGGACTTCATCTTCCTTTATCCTGAATCATCAATACAGTTCTAGTTTTTCTCTGCATATCCCATCTTAAAATGTCTTGCAAAAGTCCCAAAAATGGCATCGAATGGTGGGTTTCAAATTCAGACATCACAGCATTCAGTTAAGGTAAGGGTCAGGTAAAATGAATATTGTTAAAATGCTAATTTTTGTTGCCATACAATGAGTTCTTGTGTCTAGACACTGATAAAAATGTTCAGGTTCAACATTTGCTATATCTTTGGAGATTTCATGATAAAGTACAGTGTAATTAATAGTAAAATCTGTCTCTTGTACCTCATTTGAGTCTGACATCATCACATTCTATAATCTGAAAACCACCAATACCATGAAAAAGTAGCTGTAATATAGAGTAGCACTGTGAATAGACCTTAATACTGTATTTCCGTTACATTCGTGTTGTCTGCCTACACATCTTCCTCACACCTTATCTTGCTTACTGCCTGATCCTGAATAAATGATGACATGTTATGGTCAGGGTGTTGGGAGCACTTACTGGAGGTGGCGTGTTTGTAGGTGGCCTCGCCCTGAGTGCTGCTCTTGGCTGGTTCTTCTCCCGGTGGAGGCTGCTTCCTGGTTGCCACGGCGCCGGAGGATGGGGTTGGCTCAGGAGGCGTCTGGAAGTCTGCAACAACACACAAGATGGTGACTGACAGTACACACTATTCATGCTTTTCTGCTTCCTTTTACATGCAAAGTTTTGTGACCAATTTTCAGTTTTTCACAATTCTTCTCATCCATGGGGGAGAGTGGATACATCTTACAGAAATAAGTGGTACAGAACAGATAATAGCAAATAAACAGCAACAAAACAGAGCAGATCGTAACAAACCCAGATAAATCAAATGATGTTTAATACAGCTTAACCAATGCAATGTTTTGAGCAAGCTGTCCCAAGTTGTGTTTTTCAATTGTTAAACTAACTCTTGTGAGCTTTAAAAGGTGCACTGTGTAACTTTTCAGTATGGTGGGTCCGTCACCCTTTTGTTTTTATGGAAATGTCACTGCTCTGCTTGGAATGTTCCACAGAATGACTTTAAACGGATCTACCTCCGATTTATTGAATTACTGATGGAAAAACAGGAATTTTGACTGTGAGTGGGGTCGCCTCTCCACAGATCTGACCTGTAACTTGGTCTTGTCTGTGTTCCACGATGATAAAAGTGCGATAACATCTGAAGAAAAGCATTTGAACCAGCAAAAGCACCAGAAAAGTTACACAATGCACCTTTAAACCATGTTAGAATGTTGTTAACGTCTCAAAAACAGACCTGGAGTTGTGTTTTGTTTCATTTACACATGTGTGAGTAATCCTGCATTATTCATCTGTCTACGTCTCCAAAGCTCAAAATGTTCTGTTTTAAACTCCTCACACCTACACTAGAATCATTTGGATAATTTCAGTGCGGGAATTGCCGATCTCTGCTGAACTAAAGGTAAAAGGAGCTGTTAACTTGAAAACTACCACTACATAACATCACCAGATGGAGCAGAGCATTTTGAGCTTTGGAGATGTAGACAGACTAATTATAAAGACTTACTCAAACATGTGTGAATGAAACAAAATAACTCCAGGTCTGTTTTTGAGGAGGTAACAACATAACATGGCTTAAAGCTCACAAGAATCCTTTTTTGACCTTTAAACGTGCACCATGTAACTTTTCTAACTTTTCCTTGTGTGCTGGAAGATGTTAATACTTTGCCAGGAGTGATAGAACTTACAACTTAGATCTGCGAAGAGGCAAACCTTCTCACGCGAAGAATACATGTTTTTCCAAGGTTATTTTAAGCAGTAAAAACGGTTATAACTGACACATGAATGTGACACATAAAATCACAAGATCATTTTCCATTGGGATGAGAACTCTTATGGTATTCAACGTGCATTTCTGATGAGATACAAGTGCATTTTCTGCATTTGTCTGGGCACCTGTTCTGGAGTACACTGGAGAAGATCATTCTACCACTAGGGATGGGCATGATTAATCGATTAATCGATAATTGATCATTAAGAATTTCATCGATTACGTTCATTTTAATCGACAAACCGAATGTAGGTTGCTGTGCGTAGCGTGACCAAACAGGCGTCCGTACATGTTGCTCTCTGCACTCAGAAGGAGCGAGCAGACACAAACATTCGGTCAGTCTGCAGCGTACCGAAGCACAAATGCGTATTTAACGATGATTTGTACAAAAATTCCACGCTTTCCGTTGTGTTCGGGACAAGTGGGAGTCCATGTGCACAGTTTACAAAGCAGGAACATGTTTCGGTGTCCAGTGGGAAAAAGCTTTGCCAGGTAAGAGTCGCACAATGTCGATGACGAGTCCCCACCTCCCGTACGGTGTCCTGGTTTTGACAAACGCAAATATGGTCACACTAACCTGTATTCCACTGAGCCATGTCTTTTAATCCAAAAGAAATTGACCACATCAGCGACACAAGAGCTGTAGTTTTATCTTCGCTGAGTTGATGCAAATTAGTGATGCAGTTTTAAGTTTTGTTTCTGTGAGAGTTGCGCAAAACTGAATTAAATACATTATAATCTAAAACGGATTGATGTGGCTCTAGAGTCGTTACGGTTTATATGTCGTAAAGTTGAATTTATTTATGCAGATTAGTAGTGCAGATAGTAATAATAATGATGATCATATTAATATAAAAACGTTAATGATTAATCGATAATCGATCGTTAATTCTTCCGACGATCGATTAAGAAAATTTCATCGAATGCCCATCCCTATCTACCACACTAACGAAAGGATTTATAACCAAAAAATAAATCAATAAAAAGTAACTGCATACTAGTCTGAATACACCTTCCCCCATGTTTTGGAGTACGGTTTGTTTTTTTGATTTAGTTTTTATTGTTTTCTCTTTATGTCTTCAAAACAGAGAGTCCAAAGTTTATACCTTTAATGAAAAAGAAATGACTGAATGAATGAACGTGCATTTTTCTATCATGAAATCCAGTGAATCGAGTCCCATGCCTATTCATTAATATAGAAAAGCCCTCGCAGCATCAGAGCAGGAAGGGCACTGACAGAGCAGCTCATTGAGAACGTTGAGAGGGAAAACCTTGACTGGAAGATTAAATATTTAAACCGCTATATTCCTTCGCTTAAGCAGTTGGACTTCTGCTTCTGCAATATTCATTTAGCATCTTCTGACGTTCGCGGCTAAAAGAGCAAAAAAGCGAAAGGCTGAGAATGAGTTCAGGAAATGTTACGCAGTGCACCTTTTACGTGTTTGACACCAAAGACTCAACGATACAGCTACGCTCAGTGAAGTAAGTGAAAGTATGTTATTGTGTACATTTTCTTGCACAATGATTAGAGGTGTAGTCTTTTAGTCGGTGTAGGAAGTGAACACTGACTCTGGCTCCAATTGACTTTACATTAAAAAGTGTCCCTACTGCTGTGAGCCTCATCATTTTGGTCTAAAAATGTCCATATTAACCTGCTCTACATGATCCTAGTGTTTTTATTTCTCTGTTTTTTTCGTAAATAAATTCCTATTCCTAATATGCAATGCAAATTCACTCCTATAATTGCCAGCCTCTGTGAGCTTCATTTGACTGAAGATAAGTGCTATGAATGACATCACACTCCCTTAGTTCTTTATGCAGTCTATGGGCGCGATATATTGCAATAGAAAATATGTTAATTTGGGATGTAACGATATCCAAATCTCTCAATATGATAGTTTCACGACATGCATCTCACAGAATGATATTTATTGTGATATTTGTGCAGGTGAACAAAATTGTGAATATGTGACTTTTCCATTTAAAAGCCTTGAAACTGTCCATAGACTGCAAATGCACAAGCTGTCGTGTTCCAAATAGGTAGTTCGGATGCGGGTCTCCCTGTTCCTACTGACGCTCCCATTGACTTACACTGGACTTATGTCTGCTCTACACGATCCTGGTGTTTCTATTTCACAATTTTCTATGTAAATAAATTCCTATTCCTTAAATGGAACTGGCTCCAAATTCACTCATAAAAATTACTAAACTTGGTGAGCTTCATTTGACTTGGAGCTGAACACTCGCTTAGTCCACTGTTTTATACAGTCTATGGTACTATCCTAATATGGAGAATTAAGATTTAAAAGTGTTCAATAAGTTACTTCTTCATGAGTTTGCACAGACAACACCAAAGGATCATGGTCTATGTAGTTTTTAGCTATTGCTGCACCAAAACAATGTGACTTGATATATTGTGATAGCCTACGATATTATTGTGAGACTTTTGGTTTTTACATCCCCCTGTTGTCAATATTATTCAATCTATTCTGTGTCACAAAGACAAAAAACATCCAAATGAATTATCAGCAACAAATAGATACCAGACTGAAATGCTGAAGTTACTTAAGAGTTGATACACAGATCAGAAAATCACAACAGCCCAATTAAGCTTTTCAGACTTTGCTAAAATAGACTGTGACATCACATCACAAAGCATTATGGGATGCTCCCTTAGGCAAATGCTAAAGTAAAGCCGGTACATCCTCCCCTGTCAAAAGGATCTCCTGTGACTTTAGAATCCTATATCACTAGTCCCAATTACATATAAAAATACAATATTCATAAACAAAAAGTAGACTAACAATCCATTTTCTGCACTATGGATACTTTGCAGCTGTCATCAACATTCTCTGAGTAAAGTGAACTGAAAGCACTGCTCTGTTAGAAGCTCTGTTACTCAAGTTAGACTTAATCTAAGTTTTATTTTAACACAATCTGACCAAAAAGAACTGACTTAGCTGGAACTACAGCAGGTGAGATGATTTGTGCTGTTACACAAGTCTCTCCCACATAAAATTACAGTCACAAGCTCGATACAATCCATGAGCAGTTTTTCAGTTAGTCACTCTCACCTTTTTGTTGAAAATCAAACTCCTAAACAAGAACATGAACGCTCGTATCGATCACAGGCTCTTGAAAATGTTTAATATTGTTTAAATCCATTTTGTATTTTTTCTTGAGTTTTTATTGAATCACCATGGTAACTACTGAACATTGCGCCTATACAGATACATACAGAACACCCCCAGCGTGATTTCAATGCAGAAGTATCGATAGTTAGTGCATGATCCTTAGCTTTATATAACAGTTGTTTTGAGTCTGGCTGAGTCTGTGTGGTAGATTACAGATGTAGGGCTCAGAGCAGACTATTACAGAAGATTGTGTCTGAAACATTGGAGCCTCAAGGCATCCACAGCCCTGCAATAAAATCTAACAGCGCCATCAAGACCTGCTACCATATCACCTCAAAAACTGCTTTATATAATGGAAGAAAAGTCTAGCTTATTGCCAGTTCTTACAAGCGAATATTACTAATATGTTTTTTTCATTAGTGCAAGTAGTATAAAGTTGAACCACATACTTTAAAAGGACCCATATTACTTGATTACATTGTTATTTTCTGATCTATGTTATGTTGTTTCCTCATTAAAAACAGACCTGGAGTTGTGTTTTGTTTCATTGTTTAACACACATATCCTGAATATTTAGGGTGAGTTCTTCTCTCAAAGTGAAAAACCCTATTACACCTTGTGATGTCATGTGGTAATACAGGAAGTGCTCCACTGTGTTGTTAACTGCATACTCCTTCACTAGAATAATCTGGATAATTTCAGCCCTGGAATTGCCAATCTCTACATAACAAAAGTTGCTAAGACTTACTTTTATTTTCTGCCCATAAGTTTTATTTTGAAAGGACAATAAGTAGGACTGGTAGTATTAGCAACGAGTATAAAATGGGGGTGAAAAGCAAGGAGAGACACACAGCAAATTGTCAGAGCTAGAAATCATTCATCAGTCGAAAAAAAGCCTAAAATACAGTATGTTCTGACACCAACCCCTTTGACAATGACGCACAGGAGGCTCTAGTCTAAAGTGTCAACGTGGGACTAAAACTTTTGTCTTACTAAACTGTACTTGGTGTTTTGTCTACCGTTTCAGTTTTGTTTTGCTAAGATTTAGTCATTTTGGTGCAAGTTGGTGAAGTTAATTTGCATATTTGTGGTCGAAAATTCTCAAAAAATGTGTGTGTGCTGCTTCCATTGTGAAACAACATGCCAAAGCCATACCGGCCTGGTCCCGTCAGATCTCAGATGCTCAGCAGGGTTGGGCCCGGTCAGTACTTGGCTGGGAGACCACTGGGAAAATCAGGTGCCACAGGGGTGCGCCAGTCACAAAAACCTCATTCTGTCCTTAAGCAAGACACTTCACCCACATTGCCTAGTATGAAAGTGGTGTGTGTGTGTGTGTGTGTGATGGTGGTGGTCGGAGGGGCCGATGGCACAGATTGGCAGCCTCGCTTCTGTCAGTCTGCCCCAGAGCATCTGTGGCTACAGTAGTATCTTACTACCACTGAGTGTGGAGTGAATGAATAATGCTCTGTAAAGTGTGTTTGAGTGTCTAGAAAAGCAGTATATAAAACTAAGTCATAATTATTATTATTATTGAGGCCACTACTTTAATTACAAGCCATTTAATAAAACTTGGCTGTAGAAGAGGAGTTTGAAGTCTTTATGCCAGTCAGATCAATTACACTGCCGCCATATGTCCAGACCATAGATTGTATGGACACAGTTAACCAGCTAGCCACCGCATTCCAAATAGGAAGTGAGCATGGGGGCGCTTACGGCTCCATCAACTCTGGCTCCAATTCATATTCTATTGAAAAATTGTCTCCCCACTCTACATGATCCTGGTATTTTGGTATTTTGTCGGTTAATCAAGATATGAACATTAATAACAGACAAATTAGATCCCTTCTTTCCCCAAGGTTAAACCTGTTGCTAACACCAGCCGGAGCATCTGACAGCGTTGCTAAGTGCTAAACCAGCAGTAGGAGCAGAAAGAGGCGTTACCTTCAACAGCCTCGCTCCGGACTGGCTTTTTGGTTGCTATGACACTTGCGGTAAGGATTCCAAATATGAAACTTTGCACGATATTTGCTCATATAGCTGTAAGCCTCGATGAGCTTCATTTGACTGGAGTCGAACGCTATGGTCACACTCCCTTAGTCCACTTCTTTATAAACAGTCTGTAGTCCCGATCCCTCCCCTAACTACCCGTCACCCCTTTAATCCTCCAGGCACTTACTAGTTCACTGTGGGTGGAGTTTACATGTTTATTCTCGCTTTAATATGCAAATGATGTTCAATATGACCCTTATTCTCCTTACCATATCCCATATGGCACATAAAAATAACCGTCCTTCCGACAGCTCTGGCGTGGGTTACATAATCATTACATAAAGCGTCTTATAGATACATATAAGCCGATATCACCTCTTGTTGATAGTTCTCACCTCTTTTCCTTCGTGCTTCTTTAATCTCCTCACACATGCGGTCAAACTCAGGATCCAACTCGGCTGCAAAATAGCGTGTGCTGTGTCCTTTAAGCTGCTTGCCCGATGTCTGATCACCTTGTCTGGAAAAGAAGAAAAAAACACAATAAAACTGTTTATAATCCACCACAAAAATCACAATGCGTTGCATATTGTATTGTCATAAGCATAACAATGTAACTACACTGTTCTGGACGGTTTGTCAAATGCTTTTCTCAGTGGGGATGTATGGTATTAAACCTTTCTATCTTCATGGAGATCAAACTAGACCAAGTTACAGGTCAGATCTGTGGAGAGGCGACCCTGCTCACAGTCAGAATATCTGTTTTCTAGGTATTTTTGAGCTATAAAACCACCTGTAATTGAATAAATATAAAGTAGAGCTGTTTAAAGTCATACTGTGGAACATTCCAGGCAGAGTAATGATATATTCATAGAAACAAGCAGGTGACGGACTCCTAACCAAAAAGTGACACAGTGCATCTTTAAATGTCTTCTCTTTTAATGTTGATTTTATGATGATTATTCATGTTTTGATTTGTCTGTATTGTGATTTTAATGTCTTTCTTATTGTGTGAAGCTCTCTGAATTACTTTGTGTATGAATTGTGCTGTACAAATAAACCTGCTTTGTCTTTGGTTCTGTCACAATCCAAAGAATTCAGATTTAAAATATCTCATCTCTTTCTTTTTAGCTATTGCTGCACCACAACAATGAATTTAAGCAAAGGTCAATATTCATCATCGCTACTTTCTCTTTGTACTCATGGGGAAATGTTATTCGTCTGTGCTACAATTAGATTTGAACTGTAGAAGGTTGAATAAATAACTTCTATGAGTCATTATAACAACTTAGTGAAAGGTGCGTTATGTAATCTTCTGAAGGTGGCACGTCACCTGCACGGAAACAGAAAGTTAAAACTATACTTTGGAACATTCTCCATGGAGGAAGCTCGGTTTTAAGTCATTCTGTGGGAAATTACAGCCAAAGGGACAACATTTCCATGGAAACAAGAATGAAAAGCCCCTCCTCCAAGTCAGGTTTTTTTAAGTCAGGTAGAGAATTCGTGTTTTTCCACATTTGCCAGTGCAATAAACTCAACCAAAATGGGAAAAAAATATAAATAAATATAAATGTTATTTTAGTCTGTTTTGGGGCTAAAAAGTTACATGCTGTGGATTTTAAGGGTACATTATGTAACTTTTCTGGTTGACGGTCCATTAAATGCTTTTCTTCATGGAAATGTTATTGCTTTGTCTGGAATGTTTCACAGTATTGCATTAAACCTTTCCATCGTCATGGAGACCAAACCGGACCAAGTTACAGGTCAGATCTGTAGAGAGGCGACCCTACTCAAAGTCAGAATGTCTGTTTTTCTAGGTAGTTTTGAGCTATTTATATTTTCTAGGTATATTTATATTTTCTAGGTATATTTGAGCTATTTTTAAGCTACCACTTGTAACAATAAATGTAAAATAGAGCTGTTTAATGTCATATTGTGGAACATTCCAGGCAGAGCAATGACATCTCCATAGAAACAGGCAGGTGACAAACCCCCAACCAAAAATGTACATGGTGCACTTTTAAGCAATACTGTACAATTTATAATTTATTCATTTTTTGTACGTTCATTTTATGATAATTGTTTATGTTTTGATTTGCTTGTATTGTGATTTTTAAATCTTTCTTATTCTGTAAAGCACTTTAAATTACTTGGTGTACAATTTGTGCTATACAAATAAACCTGCCTTGCCTTGTCTATATTCCCTGCAACAATACAAAAAGTTCAAAATTGGTTATTGTGACATCTATATACACAGCCTGTAGTAGCATTTCACTTTTCCCTTACAAACAGCATATGGTGCAGTTTGATGTCTGTATCTATGTCTTGAAGGAAAGGTCAATATCAGAACTTTCCATGTGAGAAAATAGACTCGAGCAATTCCCAGCATGTGGAAAAATAACTGAAATATACGGCAGATGGATGACTATTTTAATTACTGAGAAAGAAGTGGGTATAAGCAATGGAAGAATTAAAGGTCCCATATGATCACAAACAGACCTGGAGTTGTGTTTTGTTTCATTTGCAGATGTTTAACACACAAACCCTGCAGATTTAGGAGGAGTTCTTCTCTCTAACAGAAAACACTCAGAATCATTTGGATCAAAGTGGAGCAGAGCATTTTAAATTTAAGACTAATAATAAAGACTTACTCAAATATGTGAAAGAAACTAAACACAACTCCAGATATGTTTTTGATGAGGTAACAACATTCTCACATGACTTAAAGCTCACAAGATTCTGTTTGGTGTAATACAGTTCCTTGAAAGTCACATTCACCTTTTCACCTAGCATGTATTCCAGAGGGTATTTTTAAACCTCTTTATTTTATTGCTATAGAATGAAAAACATAAAGTTGTTGAAAAGCAGAGCTGGAGTAAACAAGCACAGTCTCTCATTACTGCAGACGCATGACAAGAGTTCAGACAGAAGGTGGCGCTAGGGTCACCAGCTGACAGCACCTTTTGTCTAATTGGAGAACAGCAGTCTAATAGTGTGTGTTTGTGTGCGTTTGTGTGCTTTTGTGCTTTTGTAAGGGTTTGTGTGTCTGTCTGTGAGTATGTGTGTGTGTGTGTGTGTCTGTGCATGTTTTTTGTGCGTGTTTGTGTATGTGTTTCTCTGTATGCGTGCGTGTGTGTGTGTGTGGGTGTGTGTGTGTGTGCATGAAGGGTCACTGAACAAATTGTGTGTGGTCAGAGAAATGTAACACCAATAATGTCTGCCATAGGTTGTGTTATATAAAGGTGTGACGAAATAACCATCCTCTTGTTACAGAAACTGGCAGCCCTGCTAGTTTCCACTCAAATCCTTACTTTAAAAAGTTTGGAGTATGACGAAAGTGCATTTCTTAAAGGGTCCATATCATGTGAGCTTTGAGCCATATTGGAATGTTGTTACCGCATCAAAAACATAGGTGGAGTTGTGTTTTGTCAGAAGCGTCAGAAGTTGAAAAAGCTGAACTTTTGGAGTCGGACGTGCCGCATCAACCAAGAGAGGACGACTATGCTGTGACGTAGTGATGTTATTATCCAAAAGAAGGAGAAGAAAGAGAATGACCCTGGAACCGGGGCCAGGAACCACAAACATTAGCGGAGCATAAATATATGTACACCGCAGCTGCTGAGCTGATCTGTCGGTAGTTTTCAAGTTAACAGAACAGAACAAACTCTCCTCAGAAAAATCTATATGACATCATTATAACATCGCTGCCAACTTGAAAATATTCCACTGCTTTCAGTCATGTTTCTGACAGACACTAATTTGTTGTTATAAAAATACTTAAGTTACAAGTCAATTTTCGCCATTTTGGGTTCCCATTTATTTTCCTCTATGTGTGATCGTCCTACAACCGTAAACCCGTCCAGGTATGTCTGATCAGATAGTCTCTTCCACATTCTGTTCAAATCCAGAAGAGACTGGAACTAACCCAGTGAACATGAAAATCCTCTGTCCAAACTTGAGACAATCCAAACACAGTCGCTCATTTGTATCATGTGCATCTCTACGAGAATTTTGGAGAGTTGATTTAACTCTCCAAAATTCTCGTAACACTCAGAACAAAGATACTTCTTTTACCTGAGATACTGTAAGTAATAGTGCGCCGTTTCGATTGTTGATTCTATAGAAATCCACATTGTTTCACAGTCCTTTATGTTGTTACGTGTAAGCAGCAATGTTTGTTTTTGATGAGAACGGAACATACATCCGTTTGATTGGTTACTCTGCCTGTCAATCACGTCCTCTGAAATCAGGAATGATACAGGTCCAGAGTCACTCATCTTTCTCAAATTGGCTGGTTGGCCTGGCTGGTCTGGTAACCAATTTGTTGTTATAAAAATACTTAGTTTGGGTTCCAGTTTATTTTCTCTATGTGCCAATGTCTCTCAGTTGTAAATGGGCAGTCCAGGACATCAGGTATGCAGGCTCACTCTGCCTCTACAAATGAAAGAATTACGTAAACATGAGCTTTAAAACTATGGATAATGTGGAGCAGCAAAGGCAATTATTTGAATTCCTTTACCTCCAAATCAACTTAATGCGTGAAGTGTTTTCCCCCATGGTCAAACGCATTATTACCAGCTCCCCTAAGCAATTAAGTACATTCAACCAGAGAAGAGCACAAGGCTTTCCCCATAATAAACTCATTATTTACAATAGTGGGAAAGCAAAAGCAGCAAAGCCTTTATAGTAGAGCTGAGCAGTTTGGGAAGAAAGTATAACTAGTGTTTTTCTGACAACCACTGCGATTAGAATAGATATGCAATTTATGTTCTAATAATATGATTCTACTTAAAGTTCACGTTTTAAAAGGTGCACTGTGTAACATTTCTATTAGAGAATCCATCACCTGGTTGTCTCCATGGAGATGTCCAAAATGTTCCACAGTTTAGATTAAACCTAGCTTTCACGATGGAGACAAGCAAGTTATAGCACTACGCTAAGTTACATGTCAGATCTGTGGAGAGTCACCTCTATTCACAGAAGGAATTATTGTGTTTTTGAGCAACAGAAACACCTGTAATGAATAAATGTTTAATGTGGATATGTTTAATGTCAGACCATGGAACATTCCAGGGAAAGCAATAACATCTCCATGGGGACAAGCAGGTAGCGGACCCTCCACCAGAAAAGTTGCACAGTGCACCTTTACATAACCTAACACATGCACAAGAATTGACAAAAAGACTGAAATATGAACAGACAAACTAATGCAAGAATCAAATTTCCAAACATGTCTGTACAGATATATATAGGAGATTTTCTGCAGAATAAGACTGGATATTCTGTTGTGTAATTCTGTTCCTTCAACTTTGGGATTTCAATTTGATTTCCATACTGGTATTGAAAATCTGAGTAGATACTTGAAAATATTTCTGGATTGGATATCAGCATCCAAATAATTCAACAGATATCCTGGCTAGACATGAATAGATGCAATAATTATATTACTATTTATGGCCGTATTTGGACCAGAAAATGTTTGAATTGTATTTGTACAAAGCTATTCTGAAGTTATTTGAGTGATAAACACATTTTGATCAGTTTGTCGTATTTTAATTTTAAAAGGTGCATTGTGTAACTTTTCTGGTGAAGTGTCCATTACGTCCTCATCTCCATGGAGAGTATTGATATATTATTAAGAAGTTGCCCATACGATACATACCTCAATACATAGGCCAAGATACAATGTATGTCTCAATACAGTGAGCTTTCAATTCGATACAATATATTTCAAATCGATTCAATACAGTTCAATAAATAAAGGCTAAATCATGGCTGTGATACTAAAAGTCTTTGTTAAACCACTTCTTGTGCAAAGTTTATATGAAACACAAATATTTTAATCCTCAAAACAGTGAAAATGTCAAATTTGTTGCATAAATGAGTTTTCGTCCTTTAAACAAGCAACAAAACTGTAGCTGTAACAAAATAATTGAGTAAAATATACCAAAAAATACTCTCGGTGATATATCGATACAGCAGCCCACGATATTCATACTGTACATTAAACAATACATCGATATTTCAGTAATTTTGCACACCCCTAATAGAGAGGTTATTGCTTTGTCTACTCTAGATTGTTCCATGGTACAACATTAAACACATCTATGTAGCATTTATTATTTATGGGCGTTTCTGTTGTTGAAAAACACAATACATCTCCACAGATCTGACCTGTAATGTAGCCTACAGTTGTTTCTGTTAAGATAGATAGGTTTAATCTATATTGTGGAATCAGAATATGTAACAGAACAGAAAAAGCTGGATGAATGTATCCCTAATTTAGAGTTTTGGCATAACAAACAAAAGCTTACACAGAAACCAGCATAAAGAAAGCACGATAACGTTATAGGGCATAAGTAGGACTCACCACAGAGGGATAGAGGTCTCTGCTGCACCTTTTAGACAGACTCATAATTGTACAGACGATGAGCCAACTCCCTGGACCAAATACAGAGGAGGAGCACTGGGGGTTCGTTAGGCTCCTTTATTAAACAGGCTAATTGCGTTTTTTTCCCCCTTCAGAGTATCATTTGTAGACTCTGCTTTCCAACAAATGACCCCAGCTCAAATGAGAGGTATGATTTATTAATTTGGCCTGGCACAGTACAGTTTCCCCATTAGCAAAGCAGATACAGGAGGGTTCTGAGGCAGCTCCACACACGCTAATACGGTTAGGCAATTAATCGACATCTAGATTTCAAATATTCAATGATCACCTTGGGTCTTTTTAATTGAGAAGTCCATGGCCAAGCCTCTGTCAGTAAAAGCATGTCATTTATTGCTTTGCCCGGAATGTTCCATAGTATACCATTTATTATTATAGGTGTTTTCTTCCTTAATACTAATTGCGTCCAATCCAATCCACTCCAGTCTTTACTTTGGAACATTTCAGGCAATGTAATAAAATTTCCATGAAGACAAGCAGTTGGCAGACACTCCCCTCACCAAAAAAGAGAGCAGTGGTCCCCAACCTTTATTGCGCCACAAACCGGTTTAATGTCCGACAATATTTTGTGGACCGGAGGGGGGAAGGCATATGTGAGAAAATGCGGAATACAGGAGCAGGCGCGGTTCGTGCAGCGTACGGGAGGAGACGTGGTCCTAAACCATGCCACGAGGACCACGTCTCCTCCTCCCGTACGCCACAGTCCGTGCAGCATGGTTTAGTCCTGGTTAAATACTGTTTTAGTCGAGGTTTAGTCCTGGTTTTAGTCCTGGTTTAGTCCTGGTTTTAGTCCTGCTTTTAGACCTGGTTTAGACCTGGTTTAGACCTGATTTAGACCTGATTTAGACCTGCATTTAGACCTGCTTTAGACCTGCGTTTAGACCTGCGTTTAGACCTGCGTTTAGACCTGCTTTAGACCTGCTTTAGACCTGCTTTAGACCTGCTTTTAGACCTGCTTTTAGACCTTTTAGACCTGCTTTTAGACCTGTTTTCAGACCTGCTTTTCCAAATTTACTTTTATTGAAAAAGCAGATTACACCTTGCAATGTGTAAAATGAAATCACACGTTCCTGCTTTTACTTTTTTTAAAACATATACAAACTCGGAACAGGTTGGGGAGCCAGGGAACCTCTTTCACAAATTAACAAAACACTGCAAATACGAAGTAGTTTTATATGAAGTCTGATCTCACCGGCTTCGCATACTCTGTCAATTTAGTCCACATCTTGTATACGTCCAGCTGCACTTTCAATAAAAATTAAACCTTTTCCATTGTGTAGATCTCTCGCACAATGTCAATCCAGTTCTCAATTGTTGGTCGCTCAGGTTTAAGCCACTTCCTTGTTATTGCCTTCTTACTTGCTGCCAATAGAATATAAAGTAATCTCTTGTTTGTGTAGTTAAAACCATCTAATAATAAGTTACCCAGATACAAGGCTTCAAATGACAGGGGGAAAACAAATGAAGAAACATTTTGCAGATGTTGATGAACCTCTGACCAGTATTTTTGGATTAGACCTGCTTTTAGACCTGGTTTAGGCCTACTTTAGACCTGGTTTTAGTCCTGGTTTTAGTTCTGGTTTAGAGTCACGGCAAACAGAGGAGAAGGCGCAGTCCAAGCAGCATATTGGAGGGGGGTACACGCTTTCGCAGTCCAGTACCAAACGACCCACACCCACAGAGTTGAGGATCACTGACATAGAGCACTTTTAAAAATACATTAAAGGTCTTATATTGCGCAAAATAGACACTTGTGAGCTTTAAAACATTTAAACCACCAACCATCTTAAAAAACATACCTGGAGTTGTATTTTGTTTCCTTCAAATGTTTGAGTAATCCTGCATTATTAGTCTGTCTACATCTCCAAAGCTGAAAATGCTCTGTTTGAGATGTCATGAAATGGTAGTTTTCAAGTTAACAGCTACCGTTTTACCTTTAGTTCAGTAGAAATTGGCAATTCTAGGGGCGAAATTATCCATATGGTTCTTGTGGAGGTGTATGGAGTTTAAAAACACTTTCCACATGACATCACAAGGTGGAACAGAGTGTTTTCTGTTTGAGAGAAGAACCTAAGAACCTAAATATGCAGGGTTTTTGTGTTAAACATATGTGAATAAAACAAAACACAACTCCAGGTATGTTGGTGATGAAGAAAAATTTAAAAAGATCAGAAAACATGTGTGTAGGGGGCTGGATTATTTTGTGCTTTGTATTAAATAAACAACAATAACTTTCTGAAACGTTTCACAGTATAATTTTGAATATATCGCAAGTAATATTTCAGACGGTCTTAATTGAATGTGGCGTTAAGTGCAAAAAGAAGAACTCGACAATATTCAGTGGCGAGACAAGGCGGGGAGGAAACAATTAAATTTTCATGCATACAGCCCAACTACAGAGTATGAATTACACTGGGAATTCTATTTGCAGCAGAGGCAGGCTCCACTGTCCTTTGAATTTCAAGGCTGAACCAAACCATTTAGACTTTATTATTTTACACACAACATGCTCAGAATCATTACAGGCAAACAAAAGGTTGAGGGTAACAATACAACAGCTTTGAAAACCCCATTCTAAGTCATTTGAATAATAAGAACTCTAAGCAGGTTTAATGCTCCAGGGACTATTTTTGCCATATCAATTTTATGGACAATTAAAGCTTTTTCAGTCTAATCTGAAGGTTGAAAAAATAAAATTAAACCTTTTATTAGCAAGATTATTAAGGTTTAAAAAGACTGCTCAATATTGGGAAATACCATTTAAGCCTAAGCTCTAAATTTAAAGGTGTCTATTTGTGTTTGAATGATGTACACAAGGGTTTATCTTATGCCACGTTATAATGTCGTTTCCTCGTCAAAAACATACCTGGAGTTTTTTTTTTTTTTTTTTACACACGTTTATTGAGTTCTTCTCTCAAACATAAAACACCTTGTGATGTCAAGTTGTAATACAAGAAAACACCTTTACTAGAACCATTTGGATGATTTTAGCCCTGGAACTGCTGGTCTCTAAAAGGTAGTTGCTCACTTGAAAACTACTGCATCATGACATCATAAGGTGGAACAGAGTATTTTGAGCTTTGGAGATGTAGACAGACTAATAATGCAAGGTTACTTGTGAGAATGAAACAAAACAACTCCAGGTATGATTGATTTATGCCCTGACGAAGACCATCTTGCTGGTCGAAACACATTGGTTTCCCTTCATGTAATAAAGGACTTTGAATATATTCAGTCGGAGTGCATTGGGTTTGTACCTTGCCCACTTTTACATTTTTCAGTAGGGTAACTTTCTGTTAAGATTACAAGTTTAACCCTCATAGAGCACCTGTCCTGTTATTTTTAACTTTTTTATGACCCAGTGAAGCGCTCTACCTCTTTTCTTCATCTGACAACTACAGGTCTGTTCGTGATGAGGTGACAACACTCACATGACTTGAATCTTACAAGAGTCCATTTTGTGCAGACCTGAGCATTGTCCAGTTGCCGCGCCACATACGGCACTTTGGTTGACTCTGACCAACCCTTTTAAGCTCAATTGGAATTACAAAATAAACATATTTTATCATTTTATCTCATGCATGGTCTAAAGCTGTGTTGCTTTTATTTTAGAGGTGTTTTTTTTATTACATTTTTTGTAATAATTGCCCACCCCCAATTTAGTGTAATACAGGACCTTTTAGTTCCATTGTATGTAAACAAACAAATGCACTCACCACTGGGGTCTTTGTCGGGGTTGTACTCCAGAGCGTTGCTGCAGATGAGGTCCACGTCCCTCAAGAAGTCCTTGGCGGTCAGGTACTGGTGTTTATCAATCTTGGTCATGACAGTGGAGAGGTCCATGGGATGCCGAATCACCTCCAGGTAGTCTGACACCTGACGCACAAGATACATTAACACAAGCATCTGGAGAGGAAACTAGCCTGATATTATAACTATTTGTTATACATTGCGTCATACACTTAAGACAATGAAAGTGCAATTTGGTAAGAACATTTGTAATGATTTATACTTGACAAATGGAGTTAAAAGCCAGTTTGTTTCCATTTAATCCTGATTTTCATAAAAAATATTAAAATCCATTCATCTGATCATTTATATTAAATGGCTGCGAATCTAAGGGTCCTCCACGATTTGATATGATACACAGATATTCCCACATATTAAATTTTATAGACCTAGTCCCAGCAATTACCTTCTCTATGGCCTGCAGAGATTAAGCATTACCACCACTGCAGTAGCTCATAATTGGTCCATTTATTGTCAAAGGTCCCCAAAATGGCACCTACAGACAAGAAGCTAAAATATGCTTAACGAGTCAGAAATGTCATGAAACAAGTTAATAATGTCGGGTAGGCCATGAGAAAATGGGTCCTTTTAAACTAGTGGCGCATGTTGTTGAGATATTTTTCAGTATTTCGGTCTTCAATTTTCTGGTTTAATTGAAAGATGCACTGTGTAAAATGGTGGAGGGCCCATCTAATGCTTTTCTTCATGGAGATTTGTCTGGAATGTTTGGTGATGTACCAGAAGACAGACCCCCAAACCAAAAACATACATAGTGCACCTTTAACATAATTAAAAAAAAAATGCACTGGAGAATAAGTTTAGAATTATAAAGTTCATTATAATTTGAGTTTGTTTCATCAAATTTCATGTGTTCAGCCATATTAGTTTCACCTCTTCGATGTCGACTGGTTTGCTGAAGATGTTGAATCTCTTGTCCGTGGCCAGGCGTTTGGTCACATCCCTGAGAAAAAGGCGGAGCTCACGCAGTGTGTTCTCCTCCTGTTCAAACAGACGGCGCTGCTCCTCTGCAGACAGCACCCGAGGGCCCGGGGCCGGAGCGACCGGCAGCACCTCCTGACACCGATCTGAGGAGAGAGAAAGAGTGGGGGTCTTAATAATATATGGACAATAGGCCTGTCATAATAATTATTCACTGTACTCCGCCCCACCCACTTTTGTCTCTAAATGCTCCTAAACTTTCTTGTGGCGGCACTACTGGTTAAAAAGGGATCCTAGTCATGCCAATGGAGAATTTGGGAGAATCTTAAATAAGACAAAGTCCATTCATTTGTGTAAATTGTTCAGTTTTCATGTGCAAGAAATCACACTGCACTGATTCTCTGGAGGGTTTTAAAACACCTTTATTGTCTGTACTGAACTTATTTGCTCGTAGGATCGGCAGCTCCATACAAATACAAACCGAATGATGAGGGCAGCGCTCACAACAACTTCCGGAAAAAGGTGGATATATCGACTTATCGTGCACTATATTAAATGTGCATTGTGTAACTTTTCTGGTGGAGGATCCGTCAAATGCTTTTCTCCATGTAAATGTTATTGCTTTGTCTAGAATGTTTCACAGTATGGTATCGTCAATAGCCCAAGTTACAGGTCAGATCTGTAAAGAAATGACAAGATTTAAACTTTTTTTTTTTTTTTTTTTTATATGTTGTGCAGTCCAATTTTGGCTTTACCTAGTTTTATTCACCTTATTTAATATCACTGTAGCGCTGCTTTTGGGATCTAAAGCTTCTTAGGATAAGTGACTCACCACCACTTAAACCTCTTTTGTTCACAAGAAAATTTTCTTCATGTGCACAATCTTGTGGCAATTTAGTCTTGTGAGATCTTGTGATCTAGTGTGTACCTTTCCTTTGCACTAGTGGGAAATGTTTTGTTATTTTTTCACTATACAATAAGATTTGAGCCGTAAAAGGTTGAATGAATAATCTTCTATTCATTACATTACAGTCAGTACAGATGCAAGCTTGTTTAATTTATAATAGATTTTCAATGTTAAAACACATTGATTAAATCTGGAGAGGGATGCTGAAATAAATATTTGATAGAAAAATTTGAAAAGAAAAAATTTCTTATTCTTAAGGCTGAATACCAGCCCTCGTTTACTGCGAGTACTGTATTGTCAGTGATTGTGTGGGATCAGATAAACAAGAGGAATTTTTGTACTGAACAAAACCTTCATATCTAAAAACTGTCAAAACTTTCCTTCAAGCTGAAATCCAGTGATCTTTTGTCTTGTATAAACAGTGTAAAAACCCTGAAAGTATTTTCATTTGTAATATTCATGGAGCTGATCTTGATTATATCTAGTTCTAGTAGAGAATTAGCCCTTAGCCAATGACTACGTGATGAAGAAAGGCAGAGATGTACTCCTCTTCCTCCTCCTCTTCCTCCTCCTCCTCCTCCTCTCTCTGGACTCTGCTTTCAGCATCAGCCAGCATTGTTAGATGTTATTGTTAGGCTCTAGGACAGCACGATGAGAGGAAAAAGTGTGATATTGGAGAGCTAGGTTTTGTAACAATATTTACTACGTGCTTAAAGGTGCAATGTGTAACTTGGTGGAGGGTCCGCCAACTGCTTGTTTCCATGGAGATGTCTTTGTTTTGCTTGCTTTTCTACAGCACAACATTAAACATACAGTATCTATTTTCACAGACGCAAGTGACGCTACAAGGCCAAGTTACAGGTCAGATCTGTGCAGAGGTGACTATGCTGATAATGAGAATGCTTTTAAGGTATTTTTGGGCAATAAAAATTCCTTTAATTCACTGTAAGATGTTTTATGGCACATTTTTGAACATTCCAGGCAGAGCAGCATCATCTTCATGTGCACTTTTGATTCATAAGTTAAACTGGGTCAAAATAAAATCTCAAACTAAACCAAGGCCAATTCAAGTCTAATGTAGCACTTAAAGAAAACCGGCATTTTTGTCCATTTTACATTAAAAGAAAAACTGTAATTTTCTGCAAAATGGAGGACTTTGTGTTGTTGCCCTATAAGGCTGCAAGATTAATCTGAATGGACATAATTAGCAAATTGTAAAGGCTGCAGTTTTTGAAATACCACCACTGCCTTCATACATAACAAAATGTCCTGTCTTATTCTGCATTTAAAAAACTGTAGATTTGAACAAACATGTCCTGAAATGTGATTCTTGTACTAGTTTGTCAGTTTGTATTTCAGACTTTTTGACAATTCTTGTGGAAAGGTAAAGGGTCACTTTTTATATAGCGCTTTTTCACCTTCAATGACACGACGACTGTGGGAGCTAGAATCTCACGGCCAACCTCAGTCAGTGAATCTGACCACTCAACCTTTGGCTCAGAGGACAAACACTTTGAGCTGAGCTGAGCTACTGTCGGCCATACTGATTTTAATGCATGTCCACATTTAGATATTTTTCCCAAAGTTGTTGAACCCTCCTCTTGCATCTGCCAACATACCAAACCGGGCTCCCTGGCTCCAGAGGTTACATGCAGCACTCACTAGCCAGACCCAAGCTGTGATTCTAATTTCACTTAATACCAACTGGGTCGTCTCTTAGCAGCACTGGCCGAGGGTTCCTGCAGGCTGCCCTGTAGGAGGCTGAGGCCGGGAAGGACCCCTGACGAGAGGAGTGCGAGTTAAGCGAGGAACCCCTGCCTGGCATCAATGAGAGATCTGCAGAGAGGCGCGCTGTACAGATGTATTTCCATTTGAAAGCCTTGGTGGACAGTTTCTCTATATTGGAGCAGAGCATGGGGGGAGCGGGGAAGCGGGGAAGCGGGGCAGACTGGAGGAGCAGCAGGGGGCAAGAAGGACGGCTGGAGGGCAAGTTATGTGTCTCACTGAGAAGGCAAAAGAAATATGCAGCGTCTGAACACCACAGAGGAGAGTAGAAATGTCAGTGTGTTTAAGGTGCACTGTGGAACTTTTCTGAAGGGGGTTTTGGCACATGCTTGTCTCCATGGAGAAGCTATTGCTTTGCCTGAAATATGCCATTAAACTTATCATGCATTTATTCAATTATTAGTAGTATTATTACAGTAATACTAGAGTAAGAATACATGTTTTATTAATTTTTGTTTGGCGTTCTCAACAATAACCCATTTTAACTTACCTATGATTACTTTAAAAAGCACAAACACAGTCTTAATTCATGAAGAATTCATAATTCAGCCTGAGTAACTTCTTCATTAAGGCCGTGTCTAAACTACAGCCCAGGGGAACTGGCCCATATGATCATAGGCAGTACTTTTAACTGCAAATCTAAGTATTTCTACCACTACAGCTTCAATAACATCACAGTTCATTGGGATACAGGCCTAAAATGAATGTTTCTTATCATTATTATTTTATTAAAACTATTTGTATTATTATTCAAAGTATGATTGCTTTGTCAAAGCTGTGTTAGATTCATCGATTTCAAAGCCCCTGTGGCCCTCCACCTCAAACACGTTTTAACATGTGGCCCTCAGTAAACAAAAGTTTGGACACCCTTATAATTAGTAACTTGAATCATTCTTAATAAACTGTTTGTTCAATTTGAATTAGGTCTTTCTTCATGCTTAGATTAAGGCTAACTGAAGTTGTAATAAAGTGTTACCAATTATCTTGAATGATATCAACGAAATCCTGGGGACTGAGGATTAAGAGCATCATTCTTGGTCAAATGCAGCCATATCTCTTCAAGTTCATCTAAAATCCCTCCGTTCTTCAATTGGATTACTTTCAAACTAAAGCCTTTAACTCAGTCTGGCCCTAAAATAAAGAGTTACAAAACGCTTTTTTCGAACGCGCCATCAAAGCTCATCTGTTCCACTACATTTAACTGCCTCCAAAGAGAACTGTATTGAGGACAGAGAAGGGCAGAGGAGACAGCAGTGCCCTGTACGACTGACAGTGCACATAAATCACATGCTGTGGTGGTGGTTACCTCGGTTACGCGGGCGTGGGGGAGGCCGGGCAGCCTGCACCAACAAAAGGTCCGAGAAAAACCTCCTCCGGTCCTCCTCTCCCGGTGGGCTCAGAGTCACCACCTCTCCATAGGAACACTGGAACATGCTCCTCACCTGGAGTTGACATGAGACAAGGAAAGACAATAGAATAAGGCCAATGGCAATGTAAAAAAAAAGACACAGGTAACATCTGAAGAATGCAGCTTATGTAATGTTGTTTGAACCCTATAAATCACATACTTAACTGTTGTGCTACTATTAGAAAAGCCCAGATAAAATTATAATATTGAACAATTTGATTGAGAGGCCTATATTGATCTAAGTTATAATATTTCCTCATCACAAACAAACCTGGAGCTGTTTTTTTGTTTCATTCACATTGGTTTAAACACACATTTTCTGCATACTGAGATTGTGTTCTTGTCTCAAAAGGAAAATACTCTGCTCCAACTTGGGATGTCATGTGGAAATACAGGAAGTACTTCACTGTGTTTTTAAATGTCATAATATCCTACTAACATCACTAGAGTCATTTGGATGATTTCAGACCTAGAACTGGTAATCGCTCCTGAACTAAAGGTCAAAGGTAGCTGTTAATTGAAAACTACAGCTGCATGACATCACAAGGTGGAGCAGAGCATTTTGAGCTTTGGAGATGTGAACAGACTACCGTATTTTTTGGACTTCAAGGTGCACCGGATTATAAGACGCATCAAGTGAAACAAACAGACGACACTTGAGACTGATCCTTAGCCCAGGCGTCCACGATCCATTGGCAGATCGTGGAGTAATTCACCTGCAGTTGCCTCACTGTCTTGGTGTATTATTCCAGAAGGCTTCTGACTATGGTAACCGTAATGCTTCAACAATCCATCAAGCGGTGCGTCTTCGTAGCTCGTACTTAAATATTTGTACTAATTTTTGAGCGCCGTGTACCACATAAAGGCATAAGGCACGACCGGATTATAATGCGCATTATAAAGCAGATTATGAGGTTGATTTTTTAGAAAATTAAAAGATTTTAAGTGTGCTTTATAGCCCGAAAAATATGGTACTAATATAAGGATTACTCAAACGTGTGAACAAAACAAAACACATCTCCGGGTATGTTTATGAGGAGGCAACTAATCATTGTAGGTATGCCTTATTATAATGTATTACACCAGTTAGAGTATTTCTTCTAGAAGATATGACCCACCTTTGGGCATAAACTCTCTGAATTCAGAAATCTTTTTTGTGAATTTTATTAACACAATCCAAACCCAGCACTTCCTTTCTTCAGTTAAAATACCCCATGTCTCTGTGTGGAGCCTGAGGCAGGTCCCAGGGGTGCATCCTAAAGCTGAGTAAGCCTTTTCCGCTCTCTCCATCTGTCTCTCTCATCGATCTGAAACCATGACATGTTTGTACGTCCTTTCTTTTCATATCACCTTCTTTCTCTCTTTCTAGGTTTTTGCAGCTCATGGATCATAAGCTTTCTCTGCTCGTGTGAGATATAAAATGGTGCAGAAGTCAGGCAATAAAAAGCAGAGCAGAAAATCATACTTTTTTCAAAATGGCTGCAGGATGATACAAGCAGAGGATGCCAAGAATTAGGATAAACGAAAATGCAAGATTAATTCACAAATCCAGCTTTATTTTAGCACAGATTTTTTAACACATGGGCGAGGGACAGAGGAATAAAGTTAAAAAGTATTTAAGCGGTTACTTTTTATGCCAAGTACAATTAATTCATCAGCCGGTTTCACTTCATGGAAACCGTCTAACCCCGCAGCATTAGGATTCGTTCACTCGACGGTAGGCAAGTACTTTTTTTAATTTAACCAATCACTGCTATTTGATGGTAATGTGGTGCTAACGGGGCTAACTGGTATATTAAGCTTTTCCCAAATCCCATAGAAAGCAGGACAATAAAGTCTTTCCCCTTGATAAAATTGACCATACATTCTCTTTGTTTCGGCTTTAAATCCTCAATCTCAGGAATCATAACACAGAATGTATGGCTTCATCTGCATCCGTCTCGACCTCTTTGGGTGATTTTCTGTGGTACAGCCCAACAGTAAACAGTCATGGCTTCATAGCTCTTCGCTGATTGGCTGGCATGCAGTCTACAACTTCCGGGGTTCTTGCAAACCGTCTAATGTATTCCAATTCCTGACCTAGTCGCTAGAGAGAAATGAATTTGAGCGGAGGCACTAGGTGACACCAGCCTGGCTACACTTAAAGGTCCTGACCTTTAACAGACCTGGAGTTGTGTTTTATTTCATTCACACATGTCTAAATATTCATTTTATCTTAGCCTGTGTATCTCTCCAGAGCTCAAAATGCTCTGTTCCACCTTGTGATAGTTTCCGAGTTAACAGCTACCTTTTCCTTTCTGTAAAAATTGGCAATTGGCAAAGATCTAAAATTGTCCAAAACACAACTCCAGGTCTGTTTGTGATGAGGAAACATTATAACAGATCAGAACAACAGATAATAGTGTAAGATGGGCCCTTTAACCACATCTGGCTTTCAGAGTAGTACCAGAGCTAAACCAGGGCTACACCAGGAGATGAGAGCTGTAACTGTTCTTGTCAAATTTGAATGAACAAAGGAAGTTTTTTTTTTTTTTTAATTCTCATAGGCGTCAATATCCGATACCAGTATTTGATCAGTGTTTCCCTAATTGGAAAACAGTTTGAAGCCATTTCACGTTCACCGTCTCACAGTGAGAAACACTCAAATTCACGACAAATCTGAATGTGGATCTTGATTTGAATGAAGTTCTTGGTGAAAATAGAGTGTGGCTGATGTCTGGACTGGAGCCTGCAGTGTCAGATCTGAGAGGGGAGTGAGGTTTGGAGCAGAGACAGCAGCTGTCAATGTGTCTCCAGCCAAAAAGTGAAGAAACACACCCTGCCAAGTCACTCCAGCAAACAGGAAAGATATGATGCAATTATAATAGGCAACCACAAGTCCTTTTGAGAAGCATACGGATGGAGGTTTGCCAGTTTAAAGAAAATCAAATTCTGATGATGTGAAGTGATAATATTACACTATTTTCTGATCTACGTTATAATGTTGTTTCCTCGTTACAAACAGACCTGGAGTTGTGTTTTGTATCATTCACACATTTAACACACAAACCCTGCAGATTTAGGCTCTTCTTTCAAATAGAAAACACTCTGTTCCACCCTGTGATGTCACTTGTTATACAGACAGTAATACAGAAAATGCTTTCATTCATGTTTTTAAGCTAGATATACGTTCACTAGAATCATGGATAAACAGTAAATCAGTAGATTTGCTAACCTGATTCATCAGCCGGTTTCCCTTTGTAGAAACCATCTGACCTCGCATTAGAATTTCTTTTGAGCGACAGTAGGCGAGTACTTTTTTTAATTTAACCATCCCTGCTATTTGGTCATGATGTATGTACTGTGCCAAATCCCGTAGGAAGAAGGGCAATAACGTCTGTCCACTTGATAAAATTCACCAAACATTCTCTTTGTTCTGGCTTTAAATCCTCGATCTCAGGAATCGTTGCAAACACAGAATGTCTTCGTCTACATCCATCTCGACCGCTTTGTTTATTGTTGTGCTGTACCACAAAAGGAAAAAAAACAGGCACTTGAGTTTGACATCATGGCTTCACAGCTCTTCACTGATTGGCCGGTGTGCGGTCTACAATTTCCAGGGTTCTTGCAAATCGTCTAGTGTATTCCGATTCCTGACCTAGTCGCTGGAGAGAAATAAATTTCAGCGAAGGGACTAGGTGGCACCAGCCTGGCTAGAGATTTGCAATTCCAGGGCTAAAGTTATCCAAATTATCCTAGTGAAGGTGTATGGAGTTTGAGAATACAGTGGAGCACGTTCTGTATTACTCCAAGACATTAGAAGGTGGAAGAGAGTGTTTTCCGTTTGAAAGAAGAACTATGTGTTAAACATACACAAAACAAAACACAACTCCAAATATGTTCAGAATCATAGCCAGAAAATAGTGTATCCCCAGGTTTAGCTACCCCAAATGTAAGACTTTTTTAAGACCACTTAAATGATAATTAAGACCAACACTGCACAAAGCCACTGTGGATTAAACCTGCAATTCCCCATGATCCATCCAACGTCTTCCTCCACTGTACTGTACTGTTCACTCCACCGGCGCCAGAAACCATAGTATTAGTAGTACCAAGTAATGCTTGCACATACTCCAAATTAAACGTTCATTCATGTTATGCGATTTCACACAGTTGTTGTTTTTTTTTCCCTCCCTCCCTTTAGCATTGCACTATACGCTAATGAAATTTAAGACCTTTGTGAAAAAATAAGACTTGGACAACACAACTTAAGACTTTTTAAGGCCTTAATTTAGGAACATGAAATTTAAGACCTTTTTAAGACCCCAAGGCTGCCCTGAATACAGGCCCTTTAATTACACAAGTGTTTGACTTCTTGCACTTCTTGAACCTTTACTTGTTTACTTGTTACTTGTTGTTTATGCACATTAAACAGGTCTTGTAGTACGACGCTGGTTTGAAAATTGCAGGTGCAGTCTTGTCTCTCTTTGGCTCAGACTCAGACCTGATCCCGGGCCTGGACAGAAGCTCCACACAGGCCTCAGTGTTCACGCCGAGCCGAGACGTACTGCTACAGAGTGTTTGTCCTGAGGTGGAGAGAAGCATCTGCCAAAACCACCAGAGCTAATTAAAGACCTTCTGCTGACCCGTACAAAAACCCTCCTCCTTTGCTTCCTCTCTTCCCCTCTCCCACTCTGTCTGTCTTCTTCTGTCTCTCTCTTCTATTCTCTTCCCCCCTCTCTCCCTTCCTTCTCCTCTTCTCTTTCCTCCCAAAACACTACAAATTAGAGCTGAATGATTTTGGATAGAGACACGATAATTGAACTTTTAAGCGTATCGACCTTTAGCCTTAAATCGTCAGGACAGGCCGTTATTTTGTTTTGGCCGACCTGCTGCCTAAAAATACCCATAAAGCTTTGAACACTTTACAGTAGTGCAAAGAGGTAAGTGCTGAAAATGTGATTACACTGCTCTCTAACAGGTTTGAGGTAGAAAAAAAATGGGCTTGAGGGAAGTACATTTTTAGTCAATTAAAATTATGTAATTCGGGGTAGA